CCTGACATTCCACCTGGCATTCTATCGGGCAGTCTATCTGGCATTCTATCTGACATATTTTCTGACATTTCATCTGACATATATTCTGGCATTCTACCTGTCATTTATTCTGACATATATTCTGGCATTCTATCTGACATATATTCTGGCATATATTCTGGCATTCTATCTGGCATTATATCTGACATATATTTTGGCATTCTATCTGACATATATTCTGGCATATATGTTGGCATTCTATCTGGCATTATATCTGACATTTTATCTGACATTCTATCTGGCAGTCTATCTGGCATTCTATCTGGCATTCTTTCTGGCATTCTTTCTGGCATTCTATCTGGCATTCTATCTGGCATCCTATCTGACATTCTATCTGGCATTCTATCTGGCATTCTTTCTGGCATTCTTTCTGGCATTCTATCTGGCATTCTATCTGGCATCCTATCTGACATTCTATCTGGCATTCTATCTGGCAGTCTATCTGACATTCCTACATGAGGTCCGGCAGGGAACACTTGGCGTGGATACTCGCAGTTGAGGTCCGGCAGGGAACACTGGGCGTGGATGGTCGTGGTTGAGGTCCGGCAGGGAACACTGGGCGTGGATGGTCGTGGTTGAGGTCCGGCAGGGAACACTGGGCGTGGATGGTCGTGGTTGAGGTCCGGCAGGGAACACTGGGCGTGGATGGTCGTGGTTGAGGTCCGGCAGAGAACACTGTGGATCGCGGGTCGCAGTTGAGCGAGGACGACGAGGACGACAAGGACGACAAGGATGACAAGGAGGACGAGGAGGACGAGGCAGGAGGAGGCGGAGGAGGAGGAGAAGGAGGAGGAGGAGAAGGAGGAGGAGGCAACTGACATAAAATCTAACAACCCTCACCTGGCAGGTGGGGAACAAGTAAAAATCCCTGGAAAAAACGGAGGCCTCGGAAACATGTGGAGAGATTTCCTATGCTGAGGCAATACCTTCAACCCTGTGCCCATTTGGATGGACGTTTGGCAGAAGCTTGGCCGAGAGCTGTAACGGGTTGGAATGTGACACACTCTTCCCAAGGAGAAAAAATGAGGAGAGTAGATGAGAGATGCTATACTTGGTCAATTCATGTCAATTGGTCAAATGCGATGAATTTTATCTGGTTGGTGGTTTGGAGCCATGGATTTTTATGACTTTCCATATATTGGGAATGTCATCATCCCAACTGACGAACTCATATTTTTCAGAGGGGTAGGTCAACCACCAACCAGATATTGAATTTCAATGAATCTGAAGTCTGTGGCTTGGATTTTTTTCGGTCACTGGATTGAACAGATTGATCCAGAATGATCTAGATAGATTACCCTCCAGTAAACTAATGTAGCTATGGGATTATGGCCCATTTATAGTTAATTTACCTGTTAATATTGGTGATTTTCTGTAGTTTTTTGATGTTTTTTTGTATGTTTACCAGAGGGTATGTGAAAGCGGCGGTTGTTCAATGAGGAAACCTGCGCATCGCTGGGAGCCGCTCTGAGACGTGAGCGGAAGGTGCGCTTCCGGGAATCGGAGGACTCATCGGTTATAACATGGCAACATATAGTGGTTTCCTAAAATGGGGGTACCCCAATAGCTGGATGGTTACTCATGAAAACCCTATTAAAATGGATGATTTTGGGGTACCCCTACTTAAGGAAA